GACGGCGAATATGTTCAATGTATGCAGAAGTATTGCTGAAAGGCATTCCAGTATAAACAACCTATGTGGCTAAGTTCCACAACAGAAAATTAAAAGGGAAAAAAAACCCAACCCAAAGTAGTAGTCCGTTTAATTTATTTAACATTTTTTTGCCAAAAAAAAAAAAAGGAACTCAATACAGAATTCATCATGTTCCACAGTTCGTCATTTTTGGGAGTATAAATCTTTCTAAACATTGCTGTAATATTTTATTGCCGGGCACTCAAAGTTCTGCCGCTTTGTGTGAGAACAGTTGGCATGCACGGTATTGTCTGCTCACATGGAGAACGCAGGGACACGCAGCGCAACGCTGCGCTGGAGGAGGAAGACTTTAAGGTCGGCAAAGGTTTCCAATTAGGGCAGGCAATAAAAAGCACACATACAACTCCTCTTAAATGTTACGCATCTTTGGAATTCTGTCACGGTGGGCTACTAAAGGTGTAGACCGGAGAAGTACTTAATAGCGAAGTCCTACTTTAAAAAAATAGCGTATCCTTTACGCAGATGTAGTCTCGCCGCAAAAGTTATTGCAGGGGTGTGGTACGGCCCCGCCACAGGATTGCTGGAAGGTGCCGAGGCAGTGAACACCCACCTCAAATAAAATTCAGTAGGCCGCGGGACTCCGTGTCAACGACTGGAAAATAAATCAAATGACTTGGCAAATAAAAATGCCGTTATGTGCCTGCAACGAATCTGGCATTTGACTGGTTACCCCCTCCAAATCTGAAGGTAGATACTAAGTACGTGTGTAATCAGAAATGTCTCTTTATCCTTCCCAGTGCAAATCAAGCGTAGGAAAACTACTCTCCCACAGGTGACCTGTCTCATTAAAGTTATGTCCTAAGCGCAACTAAGTTCAGAAGCACTCACCCAACTTAGTCCTTGCAAAATAAAACTTAACGCATGTCGATTCAGGTATTTAAGCACTGCAGGACTTTTATAAACAAAACACATCGCTTGCATCCAAATGTATTTCTGTATTGGTTAAGCTGCCTGCTGAAGTGCACCAGATCCACTACTTTCAGTCTGTCCTCTCAGCACAGACGTCTTTCTTCCGGAAAGATCCGTCAGCATCCTTCGCACGTGTGGCGTGCGGTTCTACAAAAAAACCCGCGGTGCGGGCTCACGACACAGCAGGCGAAAAATTCCTTCTACGAGTTTTGGCCTCAGCTTAAACCTGCCCAGTTCCAACTACTGAATCTTATTTCTGCCTGAAACTTCGTCCACTCAGAAATTATTTTGGACCAATTAAGAAACAGTGAACCGCATCAAAATCAAGTCAGTTCTCGCTAGGTTTTTACTTATCGCTCTTTAGCAGAAGCTTTTAGAGGCAATCTGCCCTCAGCTGTTGTAGTTGTGGCTGAGAAACACTGATATTTCCAGTCTTTTCTTCCCTCCTTCACGTTTTTCTCCTTAAAAAGAGAGTTGCTGCTTTTCAGACTCGGTATACAACCTCAGCAGCGAATGAGGCCAAGGCTGCGCTCAGCCGAAGCGTCGGCCCTCGAGGTTTCCCATGTCTCGTTCTGCACTCGGGCATGTTTGCGGTTGCGTTACTTTATGACTTCTGCCAACTTTGTCGGAGTCTGTGACACGGAACCATACGCTGCAGCTGCCAGTACATGACAAAAACGCCTCCGTTATTTTTCCACATTCATTGTTAAACTTGTATTGACCACAGAAACTACCAGAAGTATTTTGTTGCTATTTGCAGCTGGATGCTTCTTGCAATGACTCTCCTGTCAGCGGACTTTGCAAACCACTTAATTCAGGAAACAACTGTACGGACACAGTCCTTCCCAGCAAGAGGAGAAGGGCAAAGCCTGCGTGGCAACTGCTGGCAGTTTAAGGGCTGAATAAGAGACAGACAATTCCAGGGATTTCTCATTAATCTCTAACTTTGATATAGATATACGTATTGTTGTCTGGCAATTAAAAATATGCACCATTTTTTTCAAAGGTAAGAAAGTTCCATTACCTCTGTTTTGCACGTTTAAACATTACATGAAGCTCAAAACTTTCCCAGGAAATACTCCACACCAGATGCATCTTTTCTACTCTCAAATTACCTGCCTTTCTAGAGTGCTTTTAAGACAGTTAACGTTTAATATGAACGTAGTAATCATACTTTTACACATTAGGACAGTGGGCAGGTCCTATTGCTGATGCATTTAATTCTAGAACGTGTTCTGTAGGAGCTCACTGAACGCACAACTGGAGACCCTAGTAAGTGGAAGAAAATGGAAATGCATCTAGGATTAAAGCTTAAGATCTGAAACGCACTGAAAAGACTAAAGAAAACAAACTACGTGAAAATTCAAATATTTGTTTCTCTCTGATACAGGCACTAAGAAGTGAATAGTACCAGTCACTGAAAGACATCGGGAATCAATTTCTCTCAAGAAAACACATTATACACTAAAAATATAGAATAAAACCACACAGCATCAAAGGGATCATGGAAGACAGACAATTGAGAGTTTTGGAAAAAACGACGACAACATGTAACATCTACAATGTATGCAGACATCCCTTGGCAGTTTTATATATGCTATATATATTTCAAAATACACACCAACTGCCTGTTTGGCAGGTTGAGAAAATAGGAATACATCTTGGGAAGGTCGTGAAGAAAAAAAACACAAAGGAAAACAAGTTATTTACATTCAATAATTCAGTAGCCTTTAACATCTCTATATACATACATACTCTTTCTATATATGTACAGACTGCGATGGGATCCGAATGACGCTTGTTCCAAACACAAAAGAAAAATACAAAAACCCCTTGATAATTCGCTCGACAAATGTTTACAGGTCGCAGAGCTTTCTTCATTTACAAAGGAAATACTACACGCTGACGAGACAACCAGCATCTTTGGGGAACTTTAAGTCCTTGCAAGAGGTGCGTGTTCCCAACGGACCATGCAGCGACTGGAAAATAAATTGAAAACTTGCCGTGCAGAGGGGGGGTTTAGTGGGTTATAATTGCATTTACTGTGTCAGACATATCTTAAGTATGAAACTAGTTAACAAGTCAAAATTCAGTTGCTGCCGAGGGACAGTTTAAAAAAGAAAACCCAAAATTTTATCCCTTCAATTCCTAAGTCAAGTTAAATACGTATCTTCCCCTTCTACAGCACGCTTCCAAAACTCACGCGGTACAGACATCGCTGCCACTTTACATTTAGCTTTGCCCCCGTTATTGGAGACATCTATCCGTTATTAATTTTGTATCCATTTCAGATGGTGATTTGTACGAGGCAGATCCATGTCCCACAAGTAGGAAAAATACCGAGGCCATCCTCGCCTAGCCTGCTAATTTATGACATGACAATCGGTCTCTCCTTTTTCCTCCCCGTGAGGATGTCTGGCTTACGGATACCGCAGAGCTGCTCCTTATCCCATCCACAGCGCTATTTATTTTCCTTTTCTCCCCAAGCTTTATCAGCAGCTTATGCGAGGAACAAGCTACTACCAGAAAAACATACCCGAACCACCCAGCATGAATTGAAGAGAGAGAAAATGTTGCTGTAGCTTGAAGGCTAATTTTTTTTTTTTTTGGATGTTAACCTTTAAGATGTTTTAACACTCCAGAGCTGCGGATGCAGAGGTGTTAGTAACTGACTGACAAAGCCAAGGCATTGATGGTGCCAAGTAGCAGAGAGCAGGCAAAGGAGAGGAAGTGGGGGAGCGGATTTCTGGAATGGGAACGGTTCTTCGGGATCTTTTAAGTACTGTCGGGTTTTTTCCCTCCAGGGGACACAAGTCCATGGGAAGTTTAAGAGGGTGTGAGTGAAGAGGAGATGCTATGAACTCCCAAAATAAAGTAGGGTGGTTTGGTTATCAATGCAGAGAATATCCAATTCAATATTTGCTCATCCCGACAACCAAAGTTAGCGCAACAGGCTGAGAAAAGCACTTAGGAACTGAAGTGTATTTAAATAATGACTTGTTTAAAAAAAAAAATCACTATTTGTTAACCTACCACTTCTAGAACCATCTTACTGAGGATTAAGATTTAAAATATTATGTTACCATCTCAGATGGTAGAAGTTTCTACACCAAATAATAATAACTAAAAAAAGACAGCGAAGTCCGCACACAGCTTGCTGCTACTAGCAATTTGGTTCACTATCTGCTGCAACAGTGATCTGTCAACACACTTCTCAGAATCCCATTACTTTTCCTGGAATGGATGCCAAATACATCCAGTGGTGGGTACGAAGCACAGGAACATCCTCCCCCACAGCCTGTCTGTGGCCTACAGTTCTCCAAGGCATCATCAGCTCCTGCTGGTATCGCAGCACTCGGGCAAGCTTCCCTTTACCACCAGAGGATTAAGACGACTCCCAACACACCTACCACCCGCACTACAAGTACTTTACAGAGCTGTAGCGGGCGCTACGGCAATAGGGAACACGCTGTAGCGGGCGCTACGGCAATAGGGAACACGCCGATTTATTCTGGATCTGTATTTTCAGTTTGTCACAGGCGTGTGCAGGGGATTCATCCCCTTGACCATTCAGGGGGCTGAGGACAGCAGGCAGGCAGCAGGTGCTCTGTTACCGCACTGGGGTGCCAGCACAGGCAGCGTTAGCAGAACCTCAAGCAAAACAATTCACGTAAGGGAGCGCGCCTCAGCCTGAAGCGTGGAACTTTCCATTACTTACGGAAAAAAACTCTTTACGGCACTTGAATCCGGCTCACCGAGTGTTTGCAGAAGTGACATACGCTACAGTTGACTGCTGCTCTAAGTCTGTCAGGTGAGCCTTGCTTCAAATACGCATCAAGGTTTAAACACAGTTTACTTCTTGCCTCTAATGAGTTCAACTGAAATAGCTGGACTGCAAGACAGGAGCTGGTTAAAGCAGACTGGAACATGCCAAGTCCTGTCGAATTCCAATTGTACAGACTTGTTAGTTTTTTTGGAATACGGTGATTGCCTAAACAAGACTCCACTTCTTGTTAGTACAATAACTTTTATTTGACATCTACAAGATCATTATCTTGTAGTTTTTTTGGACAGGTTTATACAATCTCAATTTTTCAATAGTGCAACCTGTGCAAGCAAGAAATGACAAACATTGTCCTTCACTTTCTTATAAACATCTACTATTATAGGCAAAACAAAACTTACCCATATTATAGATAAGTGACTATTCACATTTGTACATTACAATTTCTTTTAAACAGCTCCAGATAAACTCTACAATGTCTTACAACATATTAAACAGTATTCAAGTTACTGGGTAACAGAAACAGCACATACAGCGGAACCCTCAAGTGTTTCCCATTCTCTAATTTACAGCTCAAGTAAGGTTTCATCTTACAAGTGACAAATTAAATTACATTAATGAAGTAAAAAATATAAGATTGTATGCGAGATGGAAGTGAATTTGCACTTAAGTTTCCATAACCACCTCGGATTAAGGAAATGCTTCGATTTAAGGAAAATAGGCGTCCAGCCATCTTTGCAGTACACATTAGGAATACCATTAATACATTAAAAATGAACTAATTTTAATTTAAGATGTTTATCACAAAAAGAACGTGTTGTAGACTCAAATATATAACCCCCAGGAGAGAACCAGAAAAAATGCAACACCTGGGTATAAACACTATAAAAATGCAATAACCAATGCTGTACAACTAAGATTGTGTTTCTCTCTGAATGCTGTCTTGTGTGTTTATCCTGTCCACGCCCGTTTCCAGAGACATGCACTGTCAAACAGAAACTGGGAAGGAACCTGAATGCATGATGTGCAACCTCTAGGTTTCATGCTTTTATAAACTCAGAAATTGAAGAGAAAAACCCAATATATATTTTCTATATATATACCCAATACATGCATTCAAGGATATCTCCCACAGCAATGGCATTGATGCACTGCGTTAAACCCTGAGCACTGTATGACAAGATAAAAATAAAGCCTGCTTGGGGATTTTCAAGCATTTTCAAACAAATTGTGGTTTGTAGCTTAAAAGGCCAAAAGTAAAAGCAAACAGGAAGCACTACAGAGAGCATAAGGAAAGACAGATGCACCACCATGAACAACTGCTGGCTTTCAGTTCTACCAACCTTTTTAGATCTCTTTATTCCCGAAGTATTTGAGAGCACACAACTGAACTGAAAAAGTTATATTTCTTTGGAATCTGTCCCTGATTTTTATGCAAGTGATATGCTTTTACAGCCTTTTCCTCAAACACCAAAGTCAACACCTGTAGTTTGTCCTCTTATGCATTGTTGAAATTGGTGATGCTTTGCGGGTGATGCTGCTGCCATATCTGCTGCTGTTGTACTGCAAGCTGTTGAGACTGGTCTGACGTCGACAGGAGGTTTACAAGGGGCGATACACAATTTGCAGGAATGATCAAACCTGAAAACAGCAACAAATCAGTTGTTTCATAAGCATGCCAACAGTTTGTTCCTGAAAACCTCCGGCTGATGATTCCGCTATTTAATTTATGCAACAGTCAACAGTGACCATTCCCAGTGTCGAGCCTAATCAAGCACAGCCACAAGTTCTGCTTCTCAGTTAAGAGGTTTATCTTCAGAAGCCACTAGATCCTTTAGGTCATGAAGCAGTAGAAAAGAAATTGCCATTTTGTCCCTGAAGACAAATTTTATTATGTTACCCGCTGCCAGATAAAGTGAGAAGTCAGCTGGTTTTGCTTTTCTAGTCTCACAGAAGTTACACCACCATGAAAGTTTAAACATGAAAAACCGAGTTTCAACACCTTAGCAAACTGAGTTACTGGCGTAGGAGCTGCCACGGTATCACACATCCACAGAAGTCCACATTTTAAAAAAAAAAAAAAGATTTCAGCCTCTCAGATACCTGCTATGAAGGCTTCACCAAGAGGTTTAGCAACAAGAAATGACATAATCATCCTGAAGTCATTCTAAACTATTGATTACACGTGACTTTCAGTAGCTCCAAAGCCATGAAAACAACCATTTCAAGGGCTTACTATTCTTCGCCAGAAGTGGGAAAAAAGTGGAGCCCTTTTGGGTTCAAAGGCAGGTTGGCTGGAACAGGCTGAACGACTTTTTTGTTCCTAGTAAATCAAAAGAACTGAGAGAATAAGTGTGCCAAAGCCTGGCTGGAAAAAAAAAAAGTCTTCCTTCTTTAACCTGACTCAGAACAGTGTGTGTACTACAAATACAGGTGTCAAGAGTTGCGCTTCTGCCCCTCCCCAACATACACACTGACAAGCCTTTCCTCTTGTAAGCATCTTCATACAGTCTCCTACGTGACTCTCAACACGGAGCGACGTGTAAGTTACAGCTACCTTCTACTCCAAGATGGAAATAAAGGAGCAGACAAGCCACTTACCTACGATCCTCTGCCCATCTTCTGTTCTTAGACGAACTATTTGCATTTTCACATTTGTACCACTCACAGAGGCTAGAACGCCTTCTACTTTTGTCCAGACGCTCAATACCGAACCGCACAAGACATAGTAAGTTCGACAACGGAGTCCCACTTCACAAACTAATCCCAAGCCTGCCTTCTTACAATTGCCTCTCCTGCAGCAGAGAGACAAAAAGCTTTCAAAAGAATTCTGAAAACAAAAAGCATCCAATTCAATTAAAAAGGAGACTTGAAGTTATTCAACACGTATTCAGAGTTGAGCGAGGGCTGCAAGGACACAGTGAGGGGAAGACACTTCATCCATAGCATGCCTCTAATGGTAAAGCTTTGAGAAGTGTTGGCCTATTTAGGACCAGATCTTCAAAATGTACAGACAGAGCTTTAAGCCAAAGATACCGCTCATTTAGATCACCTGAGAACCTGACTCTGTTACACATGAAACTGGTATCTGATCAGTGTATTTCAGAAGCTCCAATATTAATCTGAAACTTCTACCAGTTATACTGTTCCTGGGGAATTAAGACATCAGCTGCTGAGTTCAGACACACCGTTAGAAGAGGTAGCACAAAACCAGCTGTTTCTTGCACCTATCTCATCTCTACGTGAAGTATAAATACTTTCCCCCCAAATAACATTTGAATTATCCTACCCCAATAACAGATCAGATCAAGACACTTAAAGCACAAGCTACTCCTGGGTCATTGTACTTCCACTGGAGTGCAATTTATACATTAGCATTCGTCTAACATATTAAGGCTTTAAGGGCAAGTGCAAAGCTTCATGTTTCCACTCAAAGGCTGGGCCATTTGACTGGTCGTGGGACAATTTTTCTTAAGCAAGAAACAAGATTTCACATGCGTAACAGAAGAACAGAATAGTTATAAACCAGTTTAGGTAAACAGTTTAAGTTAAAGCATCTACGTGCATACAAATACTAACCAATAAGCATGGGTGCAGGTATCCGCGGAAGAATTGTACTGCTCTAACCAGTGTGGCAGAGCATCTTCAGAAGGTACCTGGAAAAGTCATTCGAAGTGGGAATAAAGTAAAACACATCCAGACTTGCATAGAACAAAAGCAATTTGGTCATTACTGTGAGAAAAGAGGGAGCGCCAGCATTCTGACGGTGAAGAGAGGTACATTATCCTGTAATTTCAGGCTAGTCAATGGACACGCCATCTCAAAGGTCAAGCAAAATGCTTGAACGTAAGAGAATCTCAGTAATGAGAATGGCAGAATCTCAGAGCTTTTCCAATAATCAACCTGATTATCAGAGTTTCCTCAAGTTTTTACAAATTCAACACTATAAAATTGTTTAAGAGAAGCGTTAGGTATCTTACCAGCCTCTAAACAAAAATAATTCATTACAGTATTTAAAACTTCATCAGCAAACAGCTGAAGCATCAGAATCATTGCTCAGAATACGCTGTACATAGCTCCTTATTTAAGAACGTTTGTACACCTTACACAGGAGCAAGACTTCTCCTTGCTAGACCCTAAAAACCCTCATTTTATATTACCACACCACAAATTATTTATATTCAGAAAGCTTTAGATATACAAATGCAGAAACCATGTAGATCTGCTTAAAAAGACCCAAATACAAGCTCTGCTCTGGAAAAATAAGCCTAGGTTTTTTACTTGCCAGAAGTATACACAAATACCAGAAAAAGAAAGTCCTTGTATTTATTTTCCCCCTTTTTTTTTTTAAATACCTTCTTGTATTTCTTTTTCAGGTCTGCACATGTTTCTAGTTTGAGTTGTTTCCCAGTATTTGGTCTGTATACTAAAAAAAGCTTCTTTTTAGGATTCACTTCTTTTACTAGAATAGCGGTTTTCTTGTTATTTCTTATCTGGAAAAGAAAGAAACCAAAAACTTCTTAAGTTGAAACATGCTGACAGTATCTACCTTAAGTGATTCCATACTGTGTTCTTTACAAGAGCAATACTGCGTGTGTGTGTGCAATAAGACAGCCAGTAATAACAAGGACACCTTTAGAAGACAGTACCCCTAATCTCCATGAACCTCACAACTTTGCCTTACAGTGAAAGCACCTGGTTTCTTGATGCAGGTTTAAGTAAGAGCTATTAATTTGGGCTCACATTCCTGTCAGAAAATATCCTGAGCGGCTAAAAAGGAATGCTTCGTACTTAGCGTTGGAAGCAAACTTAACATGAATTTTAATGTAAGATTGAAAGCATTTTGCAAAACTGAACAGTAATTAATTTGAACAGTAGATTTTTTCCAGAGGAGACAGCGTATTTGGTTAGCCCCCAAAACACTTCTCTGAACATAATCCAAGAGACAAAAGAATCTTACCTGTAGTGATAAATAAAATCCGTCATCTGGACCCGTCTGTTCTGCCCAGATCTTAGTTGCTTCGTCCCAAGACATTCCTCTCTCTACGCTGATCTAGAAGACAGCCGTGCAGGGGTGTTTGGGGACAGGCTTTAGAACAGGTACAGACATAGGAACTAAAGAACCATAGACCAAGTATTTCCCAGTGAAAGGCCTGGAACTTCCCCTCACTCAGCACATGCTTAGCTGATTACCACGTTTTAAAAAACTTATCGGCAAGCAAGTTTTGTTAGTTCATACAAAGAAGATACAGAATTAACTTACTGTGTATAGTTCTACGTGTCCAGAGGTAGAATATCCAGGAGTCAAAAACTTCTTAACGTCTGCCTTCCTTACTTTCTCATCCCCAGAGCCCAAATCTTAAAAGGGAAGGAGAGAGTTATTCTGTTTCTCTCTTCTTACTTAAGTACAAGAGTACCGAGAAGTTGATTTACTCACCTAAGATGCCCATATCGTATCTTCCGTTCTTTTTAGCATTTTGAATAACTGCATTTAACGTGTCAGAAAAGTACTGGAATAAAGCGTTCTGCTGATGTACTTCCATACCAAGAATTCTGTTCAGAAATTTCCCTATATTGTTATAATCTTAAAAAAGAATAAGAAATACATGTATTAGGTCAACAAAGACTAAATTTGATGACAACAAGCTCTCAATCAGTATTCAAGGAGTCTCAAAAAGACTACTTAAATCCATTCTTTCAGAAATGAGGAAAATATTCTGAAGTTCTCCAAAAAAGTCACTTTTTAGATAGTTACAACTTCAGTTCTGTTGCTAGGAATCCACTACCATGATACGAGATATTCCTAGCCACATTTTAAAGAGACACTAAACACACAAATACCTTTATCAAGCGTTAGTATTCCAGATCTGTCTTCTACATTTATCAAGCCTACGCCAATCAATCCCTGACGAACATCTAGGAAAAAGAAAAGAGTTAGATCATAGCTGCTTTGCCACCTAATGGTGGCAATGCTCTAAAGTGATTTGCATTTTCTGCATACTGGAGAACAATCAAAAGGCAGCTAATTACATCCAGTGAGTTATACTTACCTTTGAAGAAGTCTCCAGGAAAATCAGGAGGAGGTGAGACCATTGGGGAGTCTAAGTTCACAATGGATTTCATAACAATCTCTAAAGCATTTCTGCCATACTGCGTAAGAAAGAGAAAGTTGCTCTAACAACGTGATCCAGCATTTGTGCCTCAGCCCCAAGCACACGTGGTTTAACAAGCATTTGTAATTCACAATGTTTTTCTCTACAATAGTAAAGGGAACTGGTTATTAGCTTTTCAATTATAAACTACACTATATAAACAGCCCAGTCTTAATTTCTAATTAGAATTGCCAAATTAAGCTTTCAGTTGTGACTGAAAGGACACATACCATTTACCTAAGACTTGGATTGTTAGCAAATGCAGAAAAGTAATTTACACACATATTTGAGTTCTGTTTGCAAAGCCACGTGGAACAAAGAATGTTTTCTGGCTATCTCAGAAAGAGGCCTCCTATCAGAAAGTAATACAGTTAGAAGTAAAACACTTCACAGGAGACGGAAGAAATTCTTTCTCAACAGGTCATCTGTGGAATAAGCACCACAGCATGAGCTTTCAAACAGAAATAGAACCATCACCTTGTTGTCAAAATTGAATCTGCTGAGGTCTCGAGTTTCTGTAGCCCGTCTGTCACCATGGGTGAGGGCTCCCTGTTAAGACACACCTTTGTAATTAAATCAAATTTTAAGAACAACAAATCTTTAGCTGTATTTTCTCAAATGAAGGATCAGACTTCTTGAAACAATCTTACCAAGCTCTCCAGTCTTTTTGCAACTATCGATGCAAATCTTTGCTCTCCTGCCAATTCAGAAATTAGGAACACGTACTCTGGAGCAGTCACTTGGTTGGATCTATGAGTTCTTCCTGGATAATTAAGTAGAAGCACATACGTTAAATAAATTTCACTTTAATGAACATTTCTAATAAACTACCAATTGTGAAG